ATATACTCTAGCTATTTTGGCCTAATTTTGGCAAGTTGTTCTATAATTACACTCATAGTGTCACTTATTGTGACAAATTAAGATGTGTCTACAAACTGATTAACAAATGAATAAAATAATGAAAAAACTAAAAATAACTAAAGCAAACAAACAAACACACAAACAAACAAAATGATGAAAAAACAAAAAATAACCAAAACAAACAAACAAACAAAAAACCTAATCTCCCAGAAGCTCTGGAAATCAGAAACAGACACAAACTATAAGAAAGTTTAATACAAAAGACAAGACAATGTATACAATAACATAGTTACTATTGAGTCTCTTGTGTTCATTTATGTATTATTAAACAAGTACACTTTGATAATTGTAACACGTTATATTGTAACAATAGGAAGGACTATTATTATAAGGTTGTTGGATAATGAATACAGACTGATAATACTTATTGTTGGTCCAGTTAAGCTGTCAGTCACAACTTTGATAAACCGATAGCAACAGGATCTATTGTAACAGATACACATATGACAGCAGCACAATAGGAATACTATAGAAAGTTCTCATCAACAGATAAACGTCTAAAGGCAACTATAAAACATACATGATTATTGCACTATATGATACAAATAGTGTAACTAAAACCCAGAGGCAGAAACATAACTTTGATAGTGTTGGTTTCTATAGGTTTGATGTATGTAGGAAATGAAAGGTTATATTATACACAGAAATTAGAAAATGTGAACATTAAAGGATCACTCTAGGCACCCAGACCACTTCAGCTTAATGAAGTGGTCTGGGTGCCAGGTCCAGCTAGGCTTAACCCATTCTTTTATAAACATAGCAGTTTCAGAGAAAATGCTATGTTTATCAATGGGTTAAGCCTTCCCCTATTTCCTCTAGTGGCTGTCTCATTGACAGCCACTAGAGGCGCTTGCGTGCTTCTCACTGTGATTTTCACAGTGAGAGCACACCAGCGTCCATAGGAAAGCATTATGAATGCTTTCTTATGTGACCGGCTGAATGCGCGCACACCTCCTCTCGGGGAGGAGAAGAGGAGGACCGGAGGAGGGGAGCTCTCCGCCCAGCGCTGGAAAAAGGTAAGTTTTAACCCCTTTCCCCTTTCCAGAGCTGGGCGGGAGGGGGACCCTGAGGGTGGGGGCACCCTCAGGGCACTATAGTGCCAGGAAAATGAGTATGTTTTCCTGGCACTTTAGTGGTCCTTTAAGATCTGGCTGAACTTAATGAGGTTGATGGGCAAAAAAAGAATGTATAATATTTAAGTAAAGCATGACTGAGACCTACTCTATGTATGGCTTAGGAGCATATTCTCAGATATTTATAAAATATTTTACCAAAAAAGATACACTGAGATTTCTCTTGTTTTTAAGTATGTTCCAGGCCCATTAACACTGCACCGTCACAAGGTACAGTATAATATTAAAATTATAAAATAATATTACAATATACATACTGTATATATATATATATTTAACACAGAACAGGTAAGAAATATAATCAACCATGATAGGATTATACCTTTTACTGGCAGGAATGTGTGCAGGTCAGTGATTTGCAAATCCACGTGGATCTCAATTCCTTAGTGTACATTTACAGTATATATTTGGATTATTTATTATTATTATTATTATTATTTTTTTTTTAATCAGTACAGCAATTTAAATGAAATGAATGTCAGAGAAGGATTTGCCTTGTGCCTGACCCCTTCCAATACAATACTTACTATTGACAGTCATATAGGGGAGGGCTGTGCATTGAAATCCTGACCATAACAAACTAATCTCACAGCGGGCGTTATAAGCATTTGATCAGTCTAGCTAAAGAAGACAAAGGGACTACAGTGTCATCAATCACCTACAATTATCGTACAATGTGTAGACTATTAAAGTATGCACATTTTATGAGAAGAATAGTTTTTCCCATAACAATGGATTTCAGGTGCTTGACAGACAACTGGTGGTGACATCAATTAGTATCCCCTAGTACTTACATTATACCCACCCTCTACCACTATGTGAGCAAGCAGTAGGGAATATCCTTCTTCTTTATCATGATAATACAATACAACATAGGGGGCCATGAATAATGAGAAAGTCTGGATCAAAGTTCTAGAACTGGAGCAAACAGTAGGATCAATATTGTCGTTTCTAAGGGGATTGCTCCAATTTAAACCAAAATAGCACTTTGTACATAACCCTCTTTGCAGCTCACACTGCACAAATAATGGATGTTTTGCATAAAAGTATTTGTTATATTTGTATGTTTATCACTTTTTGAAAAGCAAAATCTGAGCACTGATCTCAAGATTTTGTAATGTCTAAACTTTGCAGAGGATCCTAAGGATTAGACAGAATGCAGACCATATTTAAAGCAACTCTCTCACAATCTGGGGTTTTTGCATAATTTGCAACAACCTCCAATAATGAATTCGCCGCTGGGTGTCTGGTGGCCTGGGAGGGAGGGAAGCAGGGAACCACGACAATCATGATCCACTGCATCCTCTTCAGCTCTGGCACTTCTGTTGCCAGGAGCCGACATCAGCACTGTGCTCTCGTGCATGCACTTGAGTATTGCGGTGTAGGAAGGGTCCTGCAAGACCGCCTCTTTTCCCTACAGGTGGTTTTTGTGATGACTGGGGAAGATAACAAGCTTGGCAAAAGGACACTATTTTGATGTATTGTGACATTGATTTGTTAATAAATCAATATTTAAATTAGCAGTACCAAGTGTAGTACAAGCTAGTCAAGAGTAGAATAAATTCTGAGACAGAGTAATCCCTACTTTGTCTCAGTGTATCTTTTTACTAGGTTTGAATTTCAGTAAATTTCTGAAATACTCATTTTGAATTGGGGGTGACAGAGCCACTTTAAACTTGTTCAGTCTGGAACCGATTTCTAGAAATATGTAACTGAATGCTTAGATACAGAGATAGTTAGACACAACTGGGAGCTATCTACCTGGAAAATAAGTTAATTCTATGGAAACTCCATAGAAAGGCCTAAAAATATCCTAATAATTAATCCTGTATTTAGATTATACATTTATAACAAATTAGTTTAAATTTAAGATGTTTATTTATATTATTCAATAAACTTGATCAATGTATTATTATTTTAATAATAACCTTGGGTTATCACTGGGCAAATACTGCAGATTTATGTTGGTTCACACATTTGTCTTCTACTGATTTTTTTTTCACAATGAATAGGGTTCAAATTTGGTGTTTCACAAAAAGGCAAATCCTATATTTTATATAGGATTTAAATGTGTGAATTACAAGTTTTAAAGTAACACAATACAATTATTTAGTTTTGAGAAATAAGTGTTCTTTGATAACTTTAGAAAAAAAGTAATTAAACTTACCTGTAATCAAGCGCTGCACCTTCTTTACCTCTCGTGAGATCATCAGAATTGATGTTCTTTGCCCAATCCAAAGCTTTCCATAGTCAGAAATAGTGGACATATGGCAAACGGATGCCATATGCCATGCTTCACCAGTCAAATGTTTCAAATCTGATCTGGACAGATGTTTTAAAACTACAGCTCCCATGATGCTTTGTCTTTCAAAAGACATTCTAGATGCATGCAAAGCATCATGGGAGTTGTAGTTCTACAACATCTGGGGATCTACATATTTGGCACCCCTGTATTAGAGTATCCACATTTTAAATATAATATTATCGCGAGCTTGACAACAGGACACAAGTTATTCTTGAGGAATTCTCTGTTACACTTATTATATATTATTAAACACACAGTCATTTGATCCTCGAAATAAATAAGAGTGTGTGTGTGTTTGTGTGGCTGACTGGCTGTGTGTGTATTTGTGAATAAAACACAAGTTTGTGTAAAATGTGCTCTGTAGAAAAATATGCTCTGCTGACGTGGCTATTTAATTACCCCAGACTTTTTATTTTGATGGTTAAGTTCCATTATACAGCAAAGTATTTAAACTATTAAACCATCTTTATTTCTACACCTCTTACAACAAACTGAATTAGTGATGAAGGAGCAGTCTTTAAAGTATTCTTTTCTCTGATAACGTATGATGTTCGTTAAAAGTTAATCACTTCGTAAAAAAAAAAAGAAAACGGAAACAGATAATGATATTCTCATTTTGAAGGGGAAAAAAAAAACGTTTGAAAGAAATCACTGTAATGAAGAGAACATTTGTAGTAATTTGTTGATAATTATCAGAATCACCAAATATTCGCAAAGGCTTTAACATTACGTGTTGCAAGGAAAGCAAAACATATTATTTTAATAGTCTGATATGCAAACTATCGACCATTCAATTACAAAGCTTAATAATGCATACATGATGTGCTCTTGTTATTGAGATGAAAAAGGTCTGCAATAATTCACTCTAAAGACCAAATGTGCTCTTACATCTACAGAAGCCCAATGCTGGTGAACATGGCCCCTGCCAAATACATTTAAAAGAATAAAAATTAATGGCTGAGATTCTAAGCGTTAAATTAACATTAATTATATGGCCTGCCTGCTGGAAAGATTACATTTCTTACGCCCTAATTAGATAACGTTTTCTCATACATCAAACAGGTCCATTTGCATTTTCAGATTTCTGGATTTAAATTCTGAGTGGGATTCCCTCAGTTGTTTTCCCTTCCTTGTGAGCACAGAGAAGTGAAAGCAGCTCCTGGAGCCATTCCCTCCCCATCCTGCCATCCGTGGGATTCAAGTAGAGTTGAGATATATCCATTATAGACAATGTCACAGAGAAGAAAGTGGTAGGGTTAGAGTTCATGTCCTATTTAGAGTGGAGAGAGGGTGCGTGTTTGTGTGTGTGTGTGTGTGTATGTATATGCATGTAGATATATTTGTGTGGTGTGTGTATAAGTATATATATATATATATACTACTCTGATGCATGATAATGACCCCAAACATGCAATCTCTCTTCAGTTCAAGGACAAGGACTCCAGGAAGTGATGGTTTAGCACCCCAGAACCCCGATCTCAGCTTCATCAAGTCTGCCAGGGATTACATGAAGACAAAGAAGCAAATGAGACTGCCTAAGTCCACAGAAGTACAAGATGTTTCAACAACCCACCTGCCAAGTTCCTTACAAACTGTGCACAACTGTACATAGAAGAATTGATGCTGTTTTGAAGTGAAAGGCTGGTCACATCAAATATTTATTTGACTTACTTTCTTCTTCTGTGCACTTACTTTGCATGTTATTAATTGATAAAAAAAATTATTTATTGATAGTGATGTCCCGAACGGTTCGCCGAACGGTTTGCGAATGGTTCGCCACGAACGGTTCGCCATGGACTCATTATTGAGTAAACTTTGACCCTGTACCTCACAGTCAGCAGACACATTCCAGCCAATCAGCAGCAGACCCTCCCTCCCAGACCCTCCCACCTCCTGGACAGCATCCATTTTGAAGCTGCATTCTTAGTGAGCTGTCCAGGAGATGGGAGGGTCTGCAAGGGAGGGTCTGCTGCTGATTGGCTGGAATGTGTCTGCTGAATGTGAGGTACAGGGTCAAAGTTTACTCAATGATGAGTCCGTGGCGAACCATTCGTGGCGAACCGTTCGCGCACCGTTCGCGCACCGTTCAGGACATCACTATTTATTGACATTTATTGACATTTTTATTTTTCAAAGCATTCCTACTTCACAGAATTCTTTTCATACCTGCATAGTAGTGTAAATATGTTTGTGCACACATGCACACACACATGCACACACACTCTTGTAATGCAGATTTATATCAGTTTAAAAAAATAATAATAATAATAAAAAAAAATATATATATATGTATACAAAAATATATGAACATTTCTATTTCTTTTTATTTAAATATATATATATATATATATATATATATAGTTTTCAATATAATAAACCTTTTATCATGTATTTAAAGGAAATATATATATTTTTAAATATACTTTTAGTGTATGACAGGCATATCATCTTTCAGCCATATGCATGTCAGACATATGTTTGGTCAGACAGTGTTTAAAACCTGACAGCTAGTCTCTATGGTCTTCCCTGCTTCACTCCCTGCACAGAAGCAGGGAAGACCATAGAGACTGTCTATTTTCAAACACTGTCTGACCAAAGGTGCATGTATATGGCTGAAGGATTCTGTCATTTACTTAAGGTAGGGATGAGTTTTTCCTCATTTTGTAGGATACCACGCCATTTACAAAAAAAACTCAATTTCCTTTCAATACTTGATGAAAGGATTATTATATTACATAACCCTTTGAGGTGACAGTTGCCCTTCAAGTTTCTCAATTTCAAATCTACAAGTGTGCCACTTTTTTTTGATACCTATTGATAAACAATATGTCTGGTTCCTGGATTCCAAGTTGTCTGTAAGGTCTTTGACATTTACTGTTCATTCTTGATAAAGGGGTTCGGTATGTCTTGATGATATCTGGTTATACTATGTTAAAGGAATCATTTGATAATATGATGATAAATAAGGTATATAATAAATTAGCTAAACTGGTAGGCCACAGGGATTTGCAGTAAATGGTAACTCTTTCCACTGTGGCTCCTTCAGACCTTTAGGAAGACAGTGAGGAACAAATATGGGAATTCAGTTGCACCATATGGCCATGTTGTGTTAAGCTCACCACTAGATCACAGTACCCCAATATCGGTGGGTCCTACTCTAATGTTAACTCTAATGTTAACATTGGAAATTAACATGATAAATGCAAGAAATACTTACTTTTGTACATATTGTGGTCTTTACGGCAGCACTACTACTGCATGTTCTGGGTAATTCTCAAATTCCCCTTTTTCCTAGGTTTCCTGTACACCGTCTGTTTAATCTACAATGTCATATCTCCTGCACTGTTGATAGCCTCATTGACCCTGCAGGAGCCTGCTGTGTAAGATTAAAGTTCAATTTACAGATCAGGAGATAACACTTCTAAAGTAAGCTAAAATCTGATTGATCATCATGTAGGCTGTGTCAGTCACATCCATTGGAGGTGTAGCTACGGCTGCATAAACAGAAACAAAATTGATATAACTCGTAAATTGCAGAGAAAATGAGCAGTGAGACTGCATGGGGCAAGATCTTTACACCAAAACTGCTTCATTGACCTAAAGCTGTTTTGATGACTTTATTATCCCTTTAAGGTGTGATTATAACAGAAAGCAAGGGAAATCCAACATTAAAAAAATAAAACTTTTTTAAAAAACAAGGAGAGTTATGATTTAAAAAAAGACATCAATAAAACATGGAGTTAAGACATAAATTCAAAGAAAGGGCAAGGCTACAGCTTGAACAGCTAGGTAAATACAGCGTTAAAATAAAGAAGGTTAAATAAAGCTGAGGTAGGCAGGGCCGGACTGGGGATACAAAGCAGCCCTGGAAAAAAAATTTGTGCCAGCCCCATAAGTCACTGCGCCATATATTGTCGCGTGTAATATGTAAGGCTATGTCTTGCCAGGACAGATGATTGAGTAATATATATTATCCTGATGAAAGTTCCAGATAGGAACTGAAACGTTGATCTTTTAAATGGAATTTCAATAAACTGTAAGTTTTAAACTCAACAAAAGTCCGAGAGTGCTGATCACTACTTCACCATATATATATATATATATATATATATATATATTGCTTTTTCTAATATAAAATATTGGTCCTTTCAGGGTAAAACGTTTAATTATACAGTAAGCATACGCACATGCAGACACAGGCAATTTCACTGACATTTCAATGACACACACAAGCTCATTGATACACAGCCTCATAGACAAACAATCTTACTGATATACATCAGCTCATTGACATAAAAACACAAGCTCACTCACTAGCAGGCACACGCATGCAAGCAAGCTCACTCACTAGCAGACGCACACACACAGCTTAATGTGGTGGTACTGGTGTCTATAGCATGTCCCTACAGGCTTTTCAACGTAAACACTGACTTTTCAGACAAAAGGCAGTGTTTACATTGCTTCAAAGTGACACTGCTAGTGACAGTCACTCAGACGGTCACTAGAGGTGCTTCCTGTGTTAGTGCCCTCCCGCCCTCGCGCGCTGCTGAATGAGACTGGCGCCGGAATATGACGTCATATTCCGGCGCCGGTCTCATTCAGCTGCGTGCTGGGGAGCAGAGCCAGCGCAGCTCGCGCAGCTCCCTCAGCGGCCGCCAGGACAAGTCCGCCAGCGGCCGCCAAAAGACCTCCCCAGCGGCCAGGGGAGGGCTGGCAGCCTTAGGCCTGGGGGGCAAAACCAGTCAAGTAGACTGGTGCACTTGCCCAGGATCAGAGCCGGTGCAAGGATTTTTGCCGCCCTAGACAAAATAAAAATTTGCTGCCCCCACATGTCACATCACAATGCCCCACCCATATGATCTGCCATATGAACTAACGCCATATCCACTTCATTAAGCTATAGTGTCCCTTTAATGTGAGGTAAATTATAGATTAGTGTCACTAATAATATACTAGATTGCCTACTTACAAGCAGATGAGGATGATGATGGGCTGCAGTTTGGCTCCACTGGTCTGGTGTAGAACAGGATCTCTGGAGGCTGTTTGCAACTGTGGTCACAAAATTCAATGTTCTGGGAGAATTGGAAGCAGCTCCATTTTTTGGGGCCCCTTACACAGCTCAAGGTCTGGGCCCCAGGGCCTGACGGTGAGTATGCCCATAAGGCCCATAAAGTCCACTTATATGTTCCACCCACCCATGAGTTCGCTCACAGGGAGTGGAGTGTGTAGGGGATGTGTTATGTGTTATTGTAGAGGATCTAATATGTGTGCTTATGGTATGTAGTGTTTAGGGTTACCAGTTTGTGCAGGTGATGCAGTGTGTTTGTGTGTAGTGGAAGCAGTGTGTATTTGTGTATAAGGGATGTATTATGTGTTTCTGGTTGTGTGTAAGGGATGCATTGTGTGAATCTGTGTTTGTATGCATAAGGGATGCAAGGTGTGTGTCTGTATGTGTGTGCATTGAGTGTAAGAGATGCATTGTGTTTCTGTGTGTATGTAAGAAAAGAAGTGTGTGTGTTTGCATGCGTGTGTACGGGTTTGCATTGTCTGTTTCTGTGTATGTGTGCAAAGGATGCATTGTCTTTGTGTGTAAGGGTTGCATTGTGTGTGTGTGTGTAATGGATGCATTGTGTGTTTCTCTGTGTGTAAGGGAAGCATGTTGTGTTTCTGTGTATGTATAGGGATGCATTGTGTGTGTGTGCGCGCGTAGTGTGAAAGAGCTCCCTGTCTTGGCCCCTGTCCTATAGAGCTGCCCCTTCTTCTTATTCTTATTCCCCCCTCCCCTCTTCTTATTCCCCTCCCTCCCCTCTTCTTATTCCCCCCCATCTTATTCCCCCCTCCCCTCTTCTTATTCCCCTCCCTCCCCTCTTCTTATTCCCCCCTC